GCTCCCTTCCACCTACAGCACTCGTAAGGGTAGCTCTGCACATGAGCGGCTTAATAAATACTTACTAGATGTGAAAATTCTCTATAACTGTGTTTTTCAAACTTGGTTATGACCCACTACAGAGTGGTTAAATCAATTCAGTGGGTGACAATAAGCATTTTTAAATGAAAAATAAAAGAATAGAAAATAAAAATATCAGAGAAGATTGCACCCAGCCAAAGAAGGTAGTACTTCACGAATCTGAAGTACATTTATACATACATGATTGAGTGTACTAGGCTGTAATGTTTACTTAATGTAGATCATAGTCAAAATAGTACAGAAAACTAATTTACTCTATGAAGAGTAAATTAGCTCAACCACTGCTCCATGTAATTTTTTTTTTTTTTTTTAATTTTTTAGGCGAGGCAACCCTTGGTTGACCTCACAGATTGCAAGGACCTTGTCAGCTTACAATCCCTTATTTTTTTTTTACGCCTACAGCACCTGTTCTTCCTAGGTGGTCTCCCAGCCAAGTACTAACCAGGCTCGACCCTGCTTAGCTTCTGAGATCAGACAGAATCGGGCTTGTTCAGGGTAGCATGGCCGTAGACGCAATATTTTTTTTGACCACCATATATTCCCTATAAAGAAAAAATATCGGATGGACACCTTTCCGCATGCACGTCAGCTCACCCTGCTAGTTTCTGGATCCTGCTCAGAGAGAAACAGGGGGTGTGAAAGAACCGCAATTATTCTCCACTCACTCTGCAACTTTCTGCAATCACCCTTCAAACTCGCCAGCCCTCAGATGTTGTAAGCTGGAGCTTTGGGAATTTGTTCAGCAAATCATCCTAAGTCACCCTTGCAACAAAAAAGCAGAATTCAGAGCTCAGGAAAAACCTATGCCGGCAGGTCGCTGGATTTCTGGGAACTGGTAATGGTGCAGGTTGGAAGGGATCTGGCCCTGGGAAAGTCAGTATCCCTAGGCCCCAAATTTCCAACATGGTTCTTTAGATCATCTAGCTGCTTCCCATCCCCACCCATGAATGGGACACCAGGACTAACCCGAAAGTCTCATAGAGAGCAAAATTCAGCGTGTTTCAAAACCCAACAATTTATGTCTTTAGCAAATTCCATTCTACTCCCCTCCAACCATGGTTAGAAGAATAAAGTAGCCCATTCTCCTTGGAGCCTCCATTCCCCAGAGTCGTTTTGCCAACTTCAGGTTCAGGTCCAGGCAATGTCATTTGAATGGCAATACAGAACGGAGCCTTCTAACTCAACCCTTGGTCCCACTCACTAGCATCCTCTACCGCCTCTCTATGACCAAGAAGGTGCCCTATTTATCCCCAGACTGCCTTCCTTCTCTCAGCTTTGGCAGCCTTTCCCACACCACACACCCTGGTTTCTCCGCAATCTCGGAGTCACAGTTGCTTGCAGGACACCTATGTTTGGATGTCTTGGCAAACACAAAACTTCTCTGCAGCCTGAGTGTCAATTACTTCTCTCCAAAACACACATTTCCGATTTCTCAAGTTACTAACTACAGCAGCTCCAAGGCCCTGGCGTGTAATCAATTTCCACAAGGAATTAATTTCCATTCATCTCTTTCCTTCACCCTGCCCCTGTCAACAGATTATTTCAACAGTAATGTTTCTAAAACTCACCCTCTTTTCCAGTTATCCCAGTCCAAACCCTGGGCACTCCACAACCATAACAGCCTGATTTGTCTCCTAACATTACTTTTAAAAACCCTTCCATATACCCTTTCATTACATTACTCCCTGGCTCAAAAAACTTTGTCTCCCCAGTACACACGGGGTAAACTGCAATCCCCCAGTCAGCTTTCTGGGCCTTTCACAATCTCAACCATTGTTCCTCTCCATCTTTATCTCCTACTGTTCAGGAAACAGTCCTTGGTCTGGCCAAGGCCATCTCCTCGTCTCTCGGCAATGCCATGTCCATTGGCACCTCGTGGTCCATCTCAAAGATCTCATCCTCCCGCAATATAGTCCTGGTGATTCCTGCCCATAGCTCCCTCCTCTGATCAACAGCACCTATTCTACATCTTGCATTTTAACTGTGCCCTATCTTGAGTTTTATTTCACATGTTTAAGTCTTTCTGTGTCCTCCATGAGATTATAAACCCTAGAGGGCATCATCTCTTGTATCTTTTGTATCTCCCCTCACTGAGGTCACTATTGGAACCCCTTCTCCTCTGGTAGTCCCTCTGCGACCTCTCACACCTGTTACTTCTGCCTCTCCCGCCTTTGGGACTTCACCAGTGAGTTATTCTTCAATGTGTAACTTATTTCAGAACTTAGTACTCTAAGCCCATTCCCCAACTCTAACCTTTCCTTTGATATTCCTCCTGCCCCCTCGCCCAGCATTTACAGTAATTTAGGCAGTCATAGCACATTAATGTGAACTTGAGCTCTCAAATCACTTCCACCTGGTCAGTAGGCTTTCTAAGGCCTTCGATTTCTTGTGAGCCTCTTATCTCGCAGAGAGCCTGGCATGGTGCTAAGAACACAGCACCCCCTCAAAAGTACCTGTGGAGCTGAACTTAATTACTATATTTCCTTGTGTTTCAAGTTTTTTGAGATCTGAACCTGTTTACACAACACTTTAGGAAGGTGTCAAAAAGGCTTCAAATACCTGTTGATCACTCATTTTCAGGCAAACTACACCAGATACACTTTTTTTGGAAAGAGGGATGTAAAGAAGGTGGTGTCGGCCTTTAGGTAACCCCTGCGCCTGGCAGCCTGGTACCATGAACGCTCGACTTGTGGACGTGCTCGGAAGCCACCAGGATTGGCCAGGGCTGCCTGAAATCACGGAGGTAGCAGCACCACTTCACCGCCGGGCAGGTGGGCTTCTTTAGATTTCTGAGTTAAACCTAAAGTGAAGGCGCTGCGCCCTGAACTCCAAGACAGGAAGGGAAGAAAATGCTGCCTTTGAAACTGTTTGCACATGACAAACTCCCCGTCTAGCCCCCACCGGGCACCCCACATGCCCACAGTGCCATCTCCAAGGAGGGCCAGGGGCCACTGGTGAGGAGAGGCAGGGTTAAACAGCGCGGAAGGAAGTGGGGGTGGACAGAAAAGGACAGAAAGGGTGGGGGCCAGCCCCCGAGTTGGAGGGTGTGTCGCGCTGCGCGTCCCGGAGTCCGACTCGCCCGCCCGCCCGCTCGCTCGCTCAGTGGAGTGGGCAGGAACGCACGGGGCGCCGGGAGGACTGAACTGGCTAACCAGCCGGAAAGGGTCAGGGAGGGGGCAGGTAAACCTCGTCAGAGAGGCGACTCGGGACAATCGCTCAAAGTTGGGGAGGGGTGCCTTGGCGAGCGCCAGTGGCGAGCGAGATAAACAAGGCGACGCACGGGAGAGCGGACGGCCACCCCCACCCAGCCAGCGCGGGCACTGTCGCAGC